AATATTTTGCTTAAGGAGCAAACACGGTACGATAAGATTGATATGACATATGATATAATGTGGATATCAGCTCTGAAGGTCTTGAAAGGTGTGAGCGATAAGGCAAGAAGCAGGTCCGGCTGCTGGCGTGTTTCCACAGGGAAAAAATTAATCATATTTAGCCACACTATTATAGTCACGCTTGGGGAAATCATGCCAGGAGAATGAGCGAGATTGAGTGACGTTCCTCCTTCTCCTCTGCCTTGGTTTCCCTGTGGACCAACCTCTTTGGGCAGGGGAATTCTGGGAGCGGCGCTGTCAAAGGTACGACAGCGCCGCAAAAAGCGACAGACGTTTTTCACACTTCACGACAACTGCAGCATCCACGGGATCAAAATTCAGACGCTTGACCACCGACTCGTTCTAATGACGGTTGCATTGCCATTTACCGACCGTTCAAAGTGACAGCGGCACCGAAAAACGGGACTTATGACCGTTTTTCACACTTACGACCATTGCAGCCTCCCCGTGGTCAGGTGATCAAAATTCACAAACTTGGCAATTGATTGAGGAAAGCCAACTGTACAAAGATCTCCAGAATCTGGGATCTGAGATCTTGCTGATTGCCAAGACATTGTTCCCTCCTGCCCCAGAGAAGAGGGAGTTAAGCTATTTTCCAAAGCACCTGAAGGCAGGACAAGAAGCAACGGGTGGAAACTCATCAAGGAGAGAAGCAACGTAGAACTAAGGAGAAACTTCCTGACAGTCAGAACATTTAACCAGTGGAACCACCTGCCTCCAGAAGCGGTGAATGCTCCAACACTGGAAGTTTTTAAGAAGAGACTGGACAACCATTTGTCCGAAATGGTATAGGGTTTCCTGCCTGAGCAGGGGGTTGGACTAGATGACCTCCAAGGTCCCTTCCAATTTTATTATTATTATTATTATGGATCATCGCACAGTCAGCCAGATGTTCAGACTGGATTTGTCATTTTGTCTACCTATCGAGTCCTTACCCAGGACCTGGGATAGGCAGATGTGGATGTTTGATGGTATTACAGATATCGTCGCAGGATGGAAGCAGTTCCTAATAAGGCCGCCTTTTGCAATTGACTAATAGCGAATTTGTCAATGCCAATGGTGTTCAAGTGGTGCTCCAGTTGTTTTGGGATTGCACCCAAGGAGCCTATGACTATTGGTACTACCCTTGCTTGCTTTTGCCACAGTCTTTCTATTTCTATTTGTAGGTCTTTGTATTTTGTTATCTTCTCCAGTTCTTTCTCATCTATTCTGCTGTCTCCAGGAACTGCCACGTCCACTATCCAGACTTTTTTGTCTTTCTTATCAACAATTGTTAAGTCTGGGGTGTTATGTTGCAGGTGCTTGTCTGTTTGAATTATTATTATTATTATTATTATTAACCTAGTTTAATGAAGAGAAGGACGAGGAGGAACATGATAGCAGTCTTCCAGTATCTCAGGGGCTGCCCCAAAGAAGAGGCAGTCAAGCTATTTTCCAAGGCACCTGAAGGCAGGACAAGAAGCAACGGATGGAAACTAACCCAGGAGAGAAGCAACCTAGAACTAAGGAGAAACTTCCTGACCATGAGAACAATTAACCAGTGGAACCACCTGCCTCCAGAAGCTGTGAATGCTCCAACATTGGAAGTTTTTAAGAAGAGACTGGACAGCCATTTGTTTGAAATGGTATAGGGTTTCCTGCCTGAGCAAGGGGTTGGACTAGATGACCTCCAAGGTACCTTCCCGCTCTATTCTGATTGATTGATTTTGGAAAAAGTGCAGAGAAGAGCAACTAAGATGATTTAAGGCCTGCAGACTAAAACATACAAAGAACGGCTTCAGGATTTGGGTACGGCCAGTCTAGAGAAAAGAAGGTCTAGGGGTGACATGATAGCAGTCTTCCAATATTTGAGGGGCTGCCCCAAAGAAGAGGGAGTCAAGCTCTTCTCCAAAGCACCTGAAGGCCGGACAAGAAAGAAAGGATGGAAACTAACCAAGGAGGGAAACAACATAGAACGAAGGAGAAACTTCCTAACAGTGAGGACAATTAACCAGTGGAACCACCTGCCACCAGAAATTATGGGTGCTCCATCCCTGGAGTTTTTAAAGAAGAGACCTGATAATCACCTGTCTGCAATGGTTAGAGTCTCCTGCTTGAGCAGGGGGTTGGACTAGATGATCTCCGAGGTCCCTTCTGAACAATGGCAGTAAGGTCCCAGCCAGTTATGGACCCAAGGAAGCCGAGTCAAGGTAAATTGGGAGACCAGCGGTTGGAAACGGTCCACAGGGCTTCTTGGAAACTCTTTTCCGCGGGGGAATGCTTGAGAAAAAAATAAAAATAAACCGACATTTCATCAGCGGGGTTTGTGTTTGGCCAGAACCTTCTTCCTGGACCGGAATAATTGGGTGAGATTGTCATCAAAGATACCCTGTGGGGGGGGGGTTGGGAATTGTTCAAAGGAGGTGAGCAGAACTGCCCTCCTCCCGTGGGATCTGTGCAAACAAGCTGGGCTGGTTAGTTTGCCGACAAAGGGGGTCTGTTTTGCAGAATCCCCAACCTCAAAGAAAGGCAGCAATTTAAGGCAACCGGCCGATGTGTCACCTTGCAGGACATTCCCCTGGAAACCAAAGCTGCTGCTCATTCATACCCTGCAGGTGGAAAGAAGCTCGTTAATCTTTCTCAGCCAGCCTCATTGCTCCTTTTGATGGTTAACCGCGCCCAGAGGCCTCCTCAAGCTTTATTTTAATTATCTCTGTAGCCTCTGGGCCTCTTCCTGTTAAGACAGGCCAGAAAAGGTGATGAACATCCAGGTAGAATTTCAACCAGAACTGTGCCTGTTAGGTATATTAAGACCGAATTATTTAAATCGGTGTTTCTCAACCTTGACCATTTTAAGGCATGTGGACTGCAACTCCCAGAATTCCACAGCCAGCAATGCTGGCTGTGGAATTCTGGGAGTTGAAGTCCACATGCCTTAAAATGGTCAAGGTTGAGAAACACCGATTTAAATGATTATTTAATATTACACGTATTAACAGAAAAGAAAATGATTGTTTACTATTCCAGGTCTTCAGAGCTGCAAGAATAGCCTTCGCCCAATTTTGGGAAAAATGAAAACTTAACCATCAGACCAGATTGTAATTTTGAAAATCCTAGATTGTGCAGAAATGGGACAGATTAACGTGAAGAGATGAAGGAGAAAGAAGATTCAATCTCCCCAAAAAAACCTGGGGGAAATTTTAATCAGTGGGTTGAAACACGTTAGAATAAGAAGAGATTTTTAGAGCTTTATTATATTAAGTATTAAGGCTGGTGATTGGAAATAGTGGTTATGCTGTCAACTACGTTAATTATTGAAAGGAATATTATTGTTTTACCAAATGTCAGCTGTAACTATGCCGATTTATTCTTATAAATGTCTAGTATTATATAAACAATAATACTCAATATGAAGACCTGGACGACAGCTTGTTCGCTGAATTACGTATTTACTGTAGCTATCCACACCCTGTCCCCTTTATCCCAATTTCCCGCACCCGCACCGACCCCACCTTTTCCCTACCCCATATAAAATCTAATAAAATATATTAAAAAAAAAGACAAGCAAGGAATTGCTTCCCTGTGTTGTGCTATTGCTTGGGAAAATAGAGGTCCCTCCATCCATGGTTAGGTTCTCGTCGGTTAAAACCTGGGCTCAGCTCCTCTCTTCTGCCAAGTCCCCGTCGGAAGAAAAATCTTCATCCTGGTTCATCCAAGCTGGGAATGAACACGGCAACCGCTTTGGGAAGAAGGTTGCGTAGTTCAGTGAGGGCGAACCTTTTAGAGACCGAGGGCCCAAACCCCAATCCAAAACCCACTTATTTATCGCGGGTGCCAGGTGGGACATGGCCCACACTGGGTGGGCGTGGCTGTGGTGGCCATGGCAGACTGGGTGGGTGTGGCCAAAGTGGGCGTGATCACCTCAATGTTGCTCGTGGGGAGGGACGGCTGTGGGCAGGGTTGGGGGAGATCCAGGGGGGGTCTCTGGCAGGTGGGGCGGTGGGCAGGAGGCTCATCCTGCGGGATGAGGCGAGGCGAGGCAGGGCGGGGATACCATTGCCACGGGGCAAGCTGAGGCAGGGGCCAGGACAGCTGCTGCCTGACACCATCGGCCTCCGCACACAGAGGCCAGCGAGCGCATGGGGGCCGCTGGTGTCCATCAGCAGCCACAGCCTGATGGCTACTTGACCGGCGTACTCTGGGGCTCCACAGCCCACCGCCAGCAGTTCAGAGAAGCCACCTCTGAGGAAGCGATGCAGTGGATCGTGCCCGGGAAAAGGAGAGCATGCGAGGCCAGGAGGGACGGGACGGGGGAGGGAAACCAGCCATGCCAGGATGCATCTGGCCACGTTGGGACCTCGGGCAGCTGATTGAAGAGGGACAGTTGCCATCTCTGGGGCACGGCACACGTGCCCCCAAAGAGGGCTCTGAGTGCTGCCTCTGGCACCCGTGCCATAGGTTCGCCACCACTGTTGTAGTTTATTGTAGAAGAGAGCCAGACAGGAAGATGGTTCTGGCAGAAAAAAAAAAGGACTGAGCACATGTAGGAAGTAGGTTTTTATACCCCCCCCCCCCCGGAGCCTTTTGTTTGGGGTTATTTCCTGTGTCATGTATTCTGACCTGAGTTTTGGGCGTGCCCTTTGGCCTTTGTGAGTTAATCCCACCATGTCCTGTCCCAGGTGGGGTATGCAGATTTTAGGCCTTTGTCTTCTTAATCTCCTAGCTCCAACTTTTCCGATGGTTTACATCTGCTTCTGCTCGGGGGAGGCAGACTTGGAGCTATTAAGAAAAACTGGGCATGCTTTTCTGCCTCTTTAAGATCCTTGGAGGAAATATGTTTTTTTTTTCTGCCTTTTAATATTTCCTTCTCTGGGGTGGGGTGGGGGGCTGACTTCCCACATCCCCAAATGAAGAAGCTGTTCAAACTTTGCCTTCCTTCCTTCTCCCTTTATTTCTTGCAGTGAATTCCATCTGAGCTTTGCCGGCAGACCCAAATTTTCCTGCGCCCCAGACTTCCAGAACATCCGGCCCGGGAGAGGGAAACTCCCGTCCATCGCCCCCCAGTTTGGCCCGTCTGGACTTCACCCACCCCTTCGCCCCAACTCTTCGGAGTCAACGAGAAGCAAGCAAAGTAAGGACCCCCCCCAAAAAAATAACAATAATAATTTTGTTTTGCCACATCATCTGTGCTTCTTCCAAACGTTCTGATGTGTTTCTTCGTCAACCTTTGACAGATTGGTGTCCTCCAGATGTGCTGGCTTAATTCCTGAGGTTCTCTCTCTGCTACTCATTTAGTCTTTGACCGATAATAATTCATAGAGAAACTTCCTGACAGTGAGAACAATTAACCAGTGGGACAACTCCTCCCAGCAAACCCCACACCCTCCTAGCACTGATAATACTACCTAGTTGGTAATGAAATGCCTGCAAGAAAACAATCAAGCTCAGAGGGCAGCAAAACCCCCACAATCCTCCTTATCCTTCCTTCCTTCCTTCCTTCCTTCCTTCTTCTCATTCCCATCTCTTTCCTTCCCTCCCTCCCTCCCTCCCTCCTTCCTTCCTTCCTTTCTTCTTTCCTTCCTTCCTTCCTTTCCTACTTCCTTCTCCTTCTCATTCCCATCTCTTTCCTTTCCTCCCTCCCTTTCTTCCTTTCTTTTCCTTCCTTTCTTCTTTCCTTCCTTTCTTTCCTACTTCCTTCTCCTTCTCATTCCCATCGCCTTCCTTCCCTCCCTCCCTCCTTTCCTTCCTTCCTTCCTTTCTTCTTTCCTTCCTTCCTTTCCTACTTCCTTCTCCTTCTCATTCCCATCTCCTTCCTTCCCTCCCTCCCTCCTTTCTTCCTTTCTTTTCCTTCCTTCCTTTCTTCTTTCCTTCCTTTCTTTCCTACTTCCTTCTCCTTCTCATTCCCATCTCCTTCCTTCCCTCCCTCCCTCCTTTCTTCCTTTCTTTTCCTTCCTTCCTTTCTTCTTTCCTTCCTTTCTTTCCTACTTCCTTCTCCTTCTCATTCCCATCTCCTTCCTTCCCTCTCCCTCCCTCCTTCCTTCCTTCCTTTCTTCTTTCCTTCCTTCCTTTCCTACTTCCTTCTCCTTCTCATTCCCATCTCCTTCCTTCCCTCCCTCCCTCCCTCCTTCCTTCCTTCCTTTCTTCTTTCCTTCCTTCCTTTCCTACTTCCTTCTCCTTCTCATTCCCATCTCCTTCCATCCCTCCCTCCCTCCTTCCTTCCTTCCTTCCTTTCTTTCCTCCTTCTTTCTCCTTCTCATTCCTATCTCTTTTCTTCCCTCCCTCCCTCCCTCCTTTCTTCCTTTCTTCCTTCTCCCTTCTTCTCATTCCCATCTCCTTCCTTCTTTCCCTCCCTCCTTCATTCCTTCCTTCCCTCCCTCCCTCCCTCCTCCTTTCTCCAGACCCCCACTTCCTTCTGTCACTGATGACTTTCACCTAGTTGGGTAATGAAACATCTGCAAGAAAACTACCCAAGCACAGCTGGCTGGGGGATCCGGAGAGTTGAAGCCCATCCATTTCAAGATGCCAAGGTTGACAAACACTGCTCTACCCGTTTCTGATTTCCTCTTTAACGGACAGCATCCCCTTCTCCCCTTCGTTCTCTCCCTCTCTCCTGCAGGCAGCCACCCTTCCAGGAGGTGAGGACAGGCCCTTTCCTCAACGGTCCCCAGCCCGAAGACAGCCCCAATCAGCTCGCGGTAACGGAAACCCTGGCATCTTCCTGGCACTCCGCTCGACAAAGCGGGAGATTGGCGCAGAAAGCCGACACTCTACACCCCGTGGCTCGGAGACCATCTGATAGCATGCGGCTTTTTTTCACGGACTCGGTCGAAAGATCAGGATCCTTTCCTGGAAGCAGAGATTTCCGAAACGCCCCTCCCGCTTTCAGGCACAGGCCCACAGCCTTTGTGTCCTGGAAAGACAATGACAAAAGGAGCCGCTGCCCTCGTGTGACGTGCCGAAGAAGGCCCAGCTGGGCTTCCCAACCCTCCGTGTGAAATAGAGAACGGAGCTCTGGGTACTTGTGGGCCATGGTCGGCCGTGATTCAAGGTTTAGCAGAACCTTCTGCAGGCTTCAATGGGCGAGACGAGGATTGTTGTTGTTAGTCGCGAAGTCGTGTCCGACCCCTCGCGACCCCACGGACAACGTTCCTCCAGGCCTTCCTGTCCTCTACTATCTTCTGGAGTCCATTGGAGCTCACGCCTCCTGCTTCAGGGACTCCATCCAGCCACCTCCTTCTCCGTCGTCCCCTTCTTCTCTTTCCCTCCATCTTTCCCAGCATCAGGCTCTTCTCCAGTGAGTCCTTCCTTCTCATTAGGTGGCCAAAGTACTTGAGTTTCCACTTCAGGATCTGGCCTTCTCAAGAGCAGTCGGGGTTGATCTCTTCTAGGACTGACCGGTTTGATCGCCTTGCAGCCCAGGGGACTCGCGGGAATCTTCTCCAGCACCGTAGTTCAAAGGCCTCTATTCTTTTGCGCTCAGCCTTTCTTATGGTACAGCTTTCACAGCCATACATGGCAACTGGGAAAACCCCATGGACAGTACCAAGAGACAAGGATAAAGCAGGTATTTTGCAGAGAACTGGAAGAACTGGAAGAGACATCTAGAATGTTCCACGCAGTGGTGGCGCTGCCTTGGATCTCTCCCCAGTCCTTCTTGACATATAGAGGACTATGGGAAATGACCTCCAAGATCCAGTACAGGCAGTTCTTGAGTCACGGCCACAGCTGAGCCCAAAATTGATGTGGCTAAGTGAAATATTTGCCAAGGAGGTTTTGTCCCCATTTTACGACTTTTCTTGCGCCGGGTGTTATTGTTAAGCCAGCAACATGGTTGTTAAGTGAATCTGGATTCCTCGTTGACCTGGCTCGTCCGAAGGTCGCAAAAGCGGATCGTGTGACCCCCCCCTGCCCAGGAAGGCTGCAACCCATCATCAATATGAACCGGTTGCCAAGCGTCTGAATTTTGATCACGTGACCGCGGAGGTGGCCGCAACGGTCGTAAGTGTGAAAAGCGGTCATTGGTCACTTCTTCGGTGCCGTCGTGACTTTGAGCGGTCGCCAAATGAACTGTTGTAAGTCGAGGACAGCCTGTAGGTGGCGGTTGTGGGGGAAAATACGAACCTACCCCGGGAAGACGGGAACGCATGTGAAAGAAACTCAAGATCGCTCTCTGTTGATTCTCTTTGGCATACGAGGGAGGGAAGGGGACGCGCTGTCGGATCCTGTTAGGGTAGCCTGTGTCAATAAAGGAGATTACCAGGGTGTTTGGTATCTGTGTTCTGACCTGGCCTACCTCGAAGGGCTGAAAGCAAAGGACGATGGGCTGGCAGTTGCCCCATCTCAGGGCTGCCCTGCCATCTGATTCTAATGCAAATGCAGGCTCTGGTTGAACTCAAGGATGGATTCGTGTGATAGCAGAAGCCGAAGGGACACACCTGGCTTGAGGTGGACAGGAGGCCATCAGAAAACTCGGTGGGACGTTGCGTGGGCGGCTCCGGTGTGTTTGAGGGCAAGTGGGGGTGAATAGCAATAGCAGACTTATATACCGCCCCACAGTGCTTGGCAGCCCTGAGCGGTTTAGAAAGATCAGCATCCTGTCCCCCCAACAGTCTGGGTCTTCATTTTACCGACCTCGGAAGGATGGATGGGTGAGTTAACCTTGAGCCCATGAGAATCGAACTGCTGGCTGTGGGCAGTGAATTAGCCTGCAATACTGCATTGTTAACCAAGGGAAGGAAGGAAGGAAGGAAGGAAGGAAGGAAGGAAGGAAGGAAGGAAGGAAGGAAGGAAGGAAGGAAGGAAGGAAGGAAGGAAGGAAGGAATAGCAATAGCCCTTAGACTTATATACCACTTCACAGGGCTTTACAGCCCCTCTCTAAGCGGTTTACAGAGTCAGCATATTTTGCCCCCAACAATCCAGGTCCTCATTTGACCGACGTCGGAAGGACGGAAGGCTAAGTCAACTTTGAGCTGGTGAGAATCGAACTGCTGGTTGTGGGCAGTGAATTAGCCTGCAATACTGCATTGTTAAGGAAGGAAGAAAGGAATAGCAATAGCCCTTAGACTTATATACCACTTCACAGAGCTTTACAGCCCCTCTCTAAGCAGTTTACAGAGTCAGCATATTTTGCCCCCAACAATCCGGGTCCTTATTTTACCAACCTTGGAAGGATGGATGGATGAGTCAACCTTGAGAATCGAACTGCTGGCTGTGGGCAGTGAATTAGACTGCAAGTCTGCATTGTTGGAAGGAAGGAAGGAAGGAAGGAAAAAAGGAAGGAAGGAAGGAAGGAAGGAATAGCAATAGCCCTTAGACTTATATACCACTTCACAGGGCTTTACAGCCCCTCTCTAAGCAGTTTACAGAGTCAGCATATTTTGCCCCTAACAATCCGGGTCCTCATTTGACCGACCTCGGAAGGATGGAAGGCTGAGTCCACCTTGAGCCGGTCAGGGATCGAACTGCTGTAAGTCGAGGACTACCTGTACTTTATCACTCTTGGTCAGGGGTAGGCAACCTTGGCTCTTTTATGACTCGTGGACTTCAACTCCCAGAATTCCTCAGCCAACATGGCTGGCTCAGGAATTCTGGGAGTGGAAGTCCACGAGACACAAAAGAACCAAGGTTGCCTACCCCTGCTCTTGGTCATCAAGTTTTTGACACCTTGCTAGGTGACGGGTGGTCCTCGGATGTTGCCATATCCTAAAAGTGGGACAATGGGTGAAAAGGTTGAAAAGCCCTGGACTAGATGACCTCCAAGGCCACTTCCAACTCTGTTATTCTATTCCAGGGCTCCTCAACCTTGGCCACTTTAAGACTTGTGGACTTCAACTCCCAGCTGGCTGAGGAATTCCGGGAGTTGAAGTCCACAAGTCTTAAAGTGGCCAAGGTTGAGGACCCCTGTATCTTTTCTATCTTTGTGTGCTTCCAGGCTCTGGTGCCAGCTTTGATTTGATTCTAATGGGCATCGTGACCTTTTTTGGACCATCTGGGTGGACCTCTCTGGATCTTCTCCCACCGCAGCACGTTTAGCCAACCCTGGAGAGGACTTCTCCTCTGGGGTCTCGTTGCTTTGGTCTCTTTCCACGACGTTCTCTCCGGAAAGATTGACGATGACAAAAGTGGTCTGTTTCCAAGGAAGTCATTCATTCATTTCCCGGTGGATCTGCTGAGTAGGAAATCAACTGGCTTTTGGCTTTTAATAAGCCCTCAGATAAACAACCCAGTAAGCGCGTGGCGAAATGACTGGCCGAGGAACAGGCAGAATAAACTGCTATTATTAAATCTCTCGTTTCTGGAGAAACCCAGTTATTTTTTTTTTAAAAAATCTCCTTTTCCAAGGAAAAGGAGATTGTGGGAATAGTCGAAAGGACCGTTTGCTCGTACGTGTCTCTGCAGCGGGAGCACACAGGAGACGCCCCGAGAAGTCAAAAACTTCAGGACTTTTCCCACAAACATCGCAAAATATATTTTCTGGTTGCTGACGGAGTCCATTTTGCTGCGTTAACACCACAGTAAGCTGCGGCGGGGACTTTGGTCCATGCCTCAAATTTGATAAATGACAAGATATACAGGTAGTAATAATAATAATAATAAAGTTGGAAGGGACCTTGGAGGTCATCTAGTCCAACCCCCTGCTCAGGCAGGAAACCCTATACCATTTCGGACAAATGGCTGTCCTGTCTCTTCTTAAAAACCTCCAATGTTGGAGCATTCACCGCTTCTGGAGGCAGGTGGTTCCACTGGTTAATTGTCAGGAAGTTTCTCCTTAGTTCCAGATTGTTTCTCTCCTTGATGAGTTTCCATCTGTTGCTTCTTGTCCTGCCTTCAGGCGCTTTGGAGAAGAGCTTGACTGCCTCTTCTTTGGGGCAGCCCCTGAGATATTGGAACACTGCCATCATGTCCCCCCTCATCCTTCTCTTCTTTAAACTAGACATATCCAATTCCAGCAACCGTTCTTCGTGCGTTTTAGCCTCCAGTCCCCTGATCCTCTTTGTGGCTCTTCTCTGCACTCTTTCTAGAGTCTCAACATCTTTTTTACATCGTGGTGACCAAAACTGGATGTACGGCTCGACGTACGGCTACGATGGAGCCCAACATTTCCGTTCCTAAGCAGGACAGATGCTAAGGGAGTCGTGTCCCTGTTTTACAACCTTTTAAACAAACCTGACTTCCCGCATTGACTTTGCGTGTCGGAAGCCAGCTGGAAAGCTTGGAAATGGTGGTCCTTGGGACACTGCAACTGTTTGTAAACGCATGCTGGTTTGTGGTCAAGTGCCCGGATTTTGATTGCGTGACCATGGGGATGCTGCAATGGTCCTCTGAAACCTGGTTCACAAGTCACTTTTTCCAGCGTCGTCGTAACTTCGAACGGTCACTAAATGGATAAGCCGAGGACTAGCTGTATTACAGTTTGCATTCTATCTTGTTCGCAGAATAAAATGCAACAGTCGATATATATGTAAAACCAGAAGCAGAATCTCCCTCAACACAATAGAAATGGAAGCTTAATTCCATTAACTTGGCCTTAACTGGCACCCTGGAGTCAGCTAATAGCCATTGCAATAGCAGTTAGACTTATATACCGCTTCACAGAGCTTTACAGCCCTCTCTAAGCGGGTTACAGTCAGCATAATTTGCCCCCAACAATCTGGGTCCTCATTTTACCGACCTTGGAAGGACGCAAGGCTGAGTCAACCTTGAGCCGGTCAAGATCAAACTTCCTGGCTGTGGGCAGAGTCAGCCTGCAAGGCTACATTTTAAGCACTGCACCACCACAGCTGCCTTCCTTCCTTCCTTCCTTCCTTCTTCCCATTCCCATCTCCTTCCTTCCTTCCTTCCCTCCTTCCTTCTCTCTTCTTCTCATTTCCATCTCCTTCCTTCCTTCCTCTCCCTTCTTCTCATTCCCATCTTCCTTCCTTCCTTCCTTCCTTCCCTCCTTCCTTCTCTCTTCTTCTCATTCCCATCTCCTTCCTTCCTTCCTTTCCTTCCTTCCTCTCCCTTCTTCTCATTCCCATCTTCCTTCCTTCCTCTCCCTTCTTCTCATTCCTATCTTCCTTCCTTCCTTCCTCCCTTCTTCTTCCTTCCTTCCTTCCCTCCTTCCTTCTCCCTTCTTCTCATTCCCATCTCCTTCCTTCCCTCTCCTTCTCATTCCCATCTTCCTTCCGTCCTCTCCCTTCTTCTCCTTCCTTCCTTCCCTCCTTCCTTCTCCCTTCTTCTCATTCCCATCTCCTTCCTTCCTTCCCTCCTTCCTTCCTAGCAATAGTACTTAAGACTTATATACTGCTCCATAGTGCTTTTTACAGCCCCTCTCTAAGCAGTTTACAGAGTCAGCATATTTTCCCCCAACAATCTGGCTCTTCATTTTACCAACCTCGGAAGGGCGGAAGGCGGAGTCAACCATGAGCCGGTCAGGGATCGAACTCCAGGCTGTGGGCAGAGTTTCCTGACCGTGAGAACAATTAACCAGCGGAACAACCTGCCTCCAGAAGTTGTGGATGCTTCCTCAATGGCATTTTTAAAGAAGAGACTGGGCAGCCATTTGTCTGAAATGGTACAGGTCTTCCTGCCTGAGCGTGGGGTTGGACTAGAAGACCTCCAAGACCCCTTCCAACATTGTTATTCTATATTCTATAAACATTCTTCCCAGTTGGCTTTTCTGCATATTTCATGGATGCTGCATGCTGGTTCTTGAACAGTCATTTCAAGTCCTCCGGCTTTTTTTTTTTTTAAAGGTGGAAATTTCAGAAAATAAATTGTCACAGATGGCCCCAGCAAGATGACCTTGTTTGATCTCAGAAAACTAAGCAGAGCAGAACTGGGAGACGACCAGAAAATCTCAGGAGAAATTGAAAACACATCCTTGGAAGAAAGCAAGGGTGAATAAATTTTCTGGGCAATTGTCAAATGAATGAATTATACATGACAGCCACGTCCCGAAGGCATGTTGGAGTCAAAGGAAGGTTTAGCTTTTATGGGGGGGAGGGGGGAGCTCTGGAAGTTAACAGCCCATGGAGAAAAATTAGGGATGCAAATAAGATTGGCTGTGTTCTTTTAATCTGGTTAGTGAATTAAGTGACTTTCTGGGCTGGCACGGAACAAAAACATAGAACAGTCAACTTGATCCAAATTGTTAGGTTCGAACAGCAGGGGACGTCACAAAATCAATAACCCAAGTTAGTACTGACCAATGTAGAGAAGCTTTTTGTAGCGCAGGGTTGAACTGTCGGGTCCTGGGTGGTCTCTGAGCTGGGTGGTTATTGGCAGACGTTTCATGACCCAACTAGGCAACATCATCAGTACTACAAGGGAGAGGAGGAGGAGGAGGAGGAGGAGGAGAAGAAGAAGAAGAAGAAGAAGAAGAAGAAGAAGAAGAAGAAGAAGAAGAAGAAGAAGAAGAAGAAGAAGAAGAAGAAGAAGAAGAAGAAGAAGAAGAAGAAGAAGAAGAAGAAGAAGAAGAAGAAGAAGAAGAAGAAGAAGAAGAAGAAGAAGAAGAAGACGTTTCATGATCCAACTAGGCAACATCATCAGTACTACAAGGGAGAGGAGGAGGAGGAGAAGAAGAAAAGGAGGAGGAGGAGGAGAAGAAGAAGAACAACAACAACAAGAAGAAGAACAACAACAACAACTGAGGGGTCCTTGGTGCTCTCTGAGCTTGGTGGTTTTCTTGCAGATATTTCATCACCCAACTAGGGAACATCATCAGTGCTCAGCATCAGTAGTAGAACTCTTTTTCATTCCCCCCCCCCCCAAAAGCTCAGTGTAACATTGTTGGGCAATTTTTTTTTCTTTCTTATTTTTCAGAACATTATAACACCTTATTTGTGCAAGTCCTGAAAACGACAATGTATTTCGGCTGTGCGTTTGCTGCACGACTTGACCTTCTCCCGGCCTTCGGAAGGTGCAAAAATTCTTTGCTCAGGCTGTATCCGTTGCCAGCCTTTGGCCTCCCGTTGCAAACTAGCAGGGGAAAAATATATATATATACACACACGCCTGTTGCCGTGTCTGTTATTTGTTATCCGAAGTTCAGATTGTTTAATTTTCTTGGTCCTGGAAGAAGGAAACAGGCTTTTGGGAAATGTCCAGTTGACAGAAGAGGTTTGTTTTTTTAATATATGCCCTGTCCTTGTTCTATTCTTCTTTGCAACCTCTCCGTGCAGATTCTCTAAAACCGACAGCTCCGCTTTTAAACCGTCTCCTTAAATATCTCATCGCTTTCCCCTTTTTCCAGTTTTTTTTTTTTTTTTGCGGGCGAGGGAGATATATTTCGGCTTGAAATGGGAGCTGCAAGAAGCTGCGGTGACAAAGCTGCAGCTTTTCTTCCTAGTTCTGAAAATCATTAATTTTTTTTTAATTGTGTCCTCTTTGCGGCTCTGAAGTCATCTGGAACCCAACCCCTTCCAGGATGAGAAGCTGAGCTGGCCCCTGTCGGCTGGCAGCGAACGGTTTTTCCACTGTTTTTTTTTTTCCCGCTTGAACTTTGCAAATCTTCCAAGGATGGCAAAGGGGGTTTCCATCTGCTCTCCTTGGAAGGTTTAGCTCCTGTCCGATTAAATGAAGCCTGCAGGAAAATCTCCTTGCGGGATATTTTCTGGAGATGGCACTCTTAAACGGATGAATGAAGGGGAAGGTGCGGACCTGGCCTGTGGATTTGGGCCCCAAATCCCTCAATCTACTTTTTAGGGTTATTGAGAAAAATGAAAGACTGGAGATTGTGGAGGGAGGAGGAAGTGGAGGAGGATGACTGTGGGGTCCTTGGTGCTCTCTGAGCTTGGTGGCTTTCTTGCAGACGTTTCATTGCCTAACTAGGTAACATCATCAGTGCTGGGAGGAGGAGGAGGATGATGCTTGATGCTGTCTAAGCTTGGTGCAGACCTTTTGTGACCAAACTAGGTAACATCATCAGTGCTAGAAGGGAGTGGCGTATGCAGGAGGGGGGAAGAGGAGGAGGAGGAGGAGGAGGAGGGGGCGGGAAAGAAAAAATGGGGGGCCCTTTTAAGTAGAAATAGCTTGTCTGACTCGTTCTACAGGTAGTCCTCTACATACGACCACAACTGAGCCTAAAATGTCCGTTGCTAAGTCAGTCCGTGGTTGAGTGAATTTTGTCCCACTTTACAACCGTTCTTGCCATAGTCGTTTTAAGTGAATCACTGCAGTTAGATTAGCAATGCAGTAATGAAGAGAATCTGGCTTCCCCATTGACTTTCCCTCGTCAGAAAGTCGCAAGAGGTCATCGCGTGACCCCGGGTGGAGGGGGGGAACGCTGTGCAACTGTCGCAAGTGCAAGCCAGTTGCCAAGCCTCTGAATTTAGATTGCGTGACCGCAGTGAAGCTGCCACGGTCCTAAGTGTTAAGTGTCCCTTTTTTCAGCATCGATGTAACTCCGAACGGTCACTAAATGGACAGCTATAAGTCGGGGACGACCTGCGCATTACAACCTCACGGCTTGCCCAGAATGCAACCTCCCATCCCCCCCCCCCAGCTTTCAGAGGTTGCCTTGCATCCAAGGGGGTGGCACATAGGAGGGGCATTCCCAGACCCCAAGAGTGTGTGTGTGTGTGTGTGTGTGTGTGTGTGTGTGTGTGTGTGTATTTGTCTTCCTTCCTTGTTCAGAGCTGGGCTGCTTGAATGGATGCTCTGTGCTCCTTCATACCTCCAGCCAGATGTTGAAGCAGATGTTGAAGCAGACGCCGAGGCCATGCTGGGGAAAGGGGGGTGGGTGCGAGACCAGCAATGGGTGCTCCAGATGTGAGGAGGGATGAATGAACATGTTGAGACTCTGGAAAGAGTGCAGAGAAGAGCAACAAAGAGGATCAGGGGACTGGAGGCTAAAACGTACAAGGAACAGTTGCAGGAATTGGGTATGTCCAGTTTAACGAAGAGAAGGACGAGGGGGGACAGGATAGCACTCTTCCAGTATCTCAGGGGCTGCCCCAAAGAAGAGGGAGTCAAGCTCTTCTCCAAAGCCCGCGAAGGCAGGACAAGAAGTAACGGATGGAAACTCATCAAGGAGAGAAGCAACCTGGAACTAAGGAGAAACTTCCTGACAGTGAGAACAATTAACCAGTGGAACCACTTGCCTCCAGAAGTGGTGAATGCTCCAAGGCTGGAAGTTTTTAAGAAGAGACTGGATGGCCATTTGTCTGAGATGGTATAGGCTTTTCTGCCTGTGCAGGGGGTTGGACTAGATGACCCCCAAAACCCTTTCCATCATCATCATCATCATCATCATTATTATTATCGATCATCGCACAGTCAGCCAGATGTTCAGACTGGATTTGGCATTTTGTCTACCTATCGAGTCCTTACCCAGGATTATTATTATTATTATTATTATTAATCATCGCACAGTCAGCCAGATGTTCAGACTGGATTTGGCATTTTGTCTACCTATCGAGTCCTTACCCAGGACCTGGGATAGGCAGATGTGGATGTTTGATGGTATTACAGATATCGTCGCAGGATGGAAGCAGTTCCTAGTAAGGCCGCCTCTTGCAATTGACTAATAGCGAATTTGTCAATGCCGATGATGGTGTTCAAGTGGTGCTCCAGTTGTTGTTGTTGTTGTTGTTATTATTATTATTATTATTGACTCGTATTTATGACGGTCGCGGTGTCCTGGGGTTACACAGTCCCCTTTTTGCGACCTGAGAAGCAACGTCAAGGGGCAAAGCAGATTCACTGAACAGCTGGACTGTGTAGAAATAACAGCAGCAGCAACAACAACAATAATAATAATAATAACAATAATCCCAGCTGAGTAGAACTGATCCTTCTGACCAAGTTTCTTTCATTTTTATCCATCCCAGGAGCGACGTGACGAACATCATAGCTCTCCGCTCTCGGCAGGACCGTCTTCCTGCCGCAGCAGGTAAGAAAGCCGAGCGAGAAATTAATTCAGGCAGAAAAATGGAGATGCGGGTGAGAATCTCCCCTAAGCCACCGAGGGCTTCCAGAGCAGCAGGACAAGTTGAGAAAGGTTGTCTTGCTTTTACACACCAGCCCAGCGTTGGCAGGAGATGCATTTCTGCCGCACAATTACTTTCGGTGAGCAACAGACAATCGCCGGGGAGACGCCGTTAAATCGTATTAACTAAGATCGAAGGGGAGTAAGCAGGTCTGAGGGAGGCTGTAAGGGGGCCTTTCAAGTGCTCCGATTTTTCTATTCTTCTTCCCGATTTCAAAAATTAAGATCGTCTTCCGAACAGGCGGGATGAATCCACTCCGGTATGCGTTCTGCAGGGAAATTGTATTTAAAAGGATTTTCAAATGTAATGTTTCTCAACCTTGGCAGCCTTAGGATGGGTGGACTTCAACTCCCAGAATTCCCCAGCCAGCATAGCTTTCATGCCTGAAGTGGGATTAGAACTCACCGTCACCTGGTGATAGGCCCAAAGTCACATGGTTGCTTTTCATGCCTAAGAGAAAGACTAGAACTCCCAGTCTCCTGGTGATTGGCCCAAAGTCACACAGTTGCTTTTCATGCCTTAGGTAGGACTAGAACTCCCAGTCTCCAGGTGATTGGCCCAAAATCATCCTGCTAGCTTTCATGCCTAAGGCGGCACTAGAACTCCCAGTCTCCTCGTTTCCAGGCCAGTATCTGAACCGGTACAGAAGCCGATTCTTCAGTGCTGCTCCTCCTTCCATGCAGTTCTGTGGATCCTGCAAATGGGATCCCAAGACAAAAGCTACAAGGTGAGGCCACAAAATGAAGCCTTTATAACACCTGCTTACCTTTTCAACCTATCCCAGCACAGAGGCTCCCTAAAGATGAAAATAACAGAGCAGGGAAGGAGGCCTTAGAAAGCCATAGAAACAGTCTGGTTCCTTCAAAACAGCAACAACACAGCAATAAAAGTAAAAAAAAAATAAAACACTGGCAGCAGTTTTTGAGGGTTGAAAAGCAGGTGGATTATCTCTCGCTGGAGATCTCCTATTCGTCAGCCCTTGAGCTTTCACGGTAAAGGGTAGGGTTTATCGCCTCTCGATCCATAAATTCCTTCTGGATCTCAATCTCTCTTAATTTGCTTATTTTGGCTGGGTGTCAATTGAGCTGGTTGCTTCGGTTCGGTTCCCTCCGGTACAAAACCAAAGGGAAAAAGATCTCACACCAGAGGTGGGAAACTAGCAAAACAGCCCACAGACAAAAATGGACCCAGTCAACCAGTCAGCTGTCATGCTTAAGGCAGAACTAGAACTCACCGTCTCCTGGTCATTGGCCCAAAGTCACCCAGCTGGCTTTCATGCCTAAGGCAGAAATAGAACTCCCCGTCTCCTGTTGATTGGCCCAGAGCAGGGGTAGGCCACCTTGGCTCTTTTATGACTGGTGGACTTCAACTCCCAGAATTCCTGAGCCAGCCATGCTGAGAGGAAAGGGAGAGGTTTCTAAGCTGAACTATGCTGGCTGAGGAATTCTGGGAGTTGAAGTCCACGAGTCATGAAGGGGCCATAGTTCCCCCATGCTGGCTCAGGAATTCTGGGATTTGAAGTCAGCAAGTCATGAGGGGGCCATAGTTCTCCCATGCTGGCTCAGGAATTCTGGGAGTTGAAGTCCACGAGTCATGAAGGGGCCATAGTTCCCCCATGCTGGCTCAGGAATTCTGGGATTTGAAGTCAGCAAGTCATGAGGGGGCCATAGTTCTCCCATGCTGGCTCAGGAATTCTGGGAGTTGAAGTCCACGAGTCATGAAGGGGCCATAGTTCCCCCATGCTGGCTCAGGAATTCTGGGATTTGAAGTCAGCAAGTCATGAGGGGGCCATAGTTCTCCCATGCTGGCTCAGGAATTCTGGGAGTTGAAGTCCATGAGTCATGAAGGGGCCATAGTTCCCCCATGCTGGCTCAGGAATTCTGGGATTTGAAGTCAGCAAGTCATGAGGGGGCCATAGTTCTCCCATGCTGGCTCAGGAATTCTGGGAGTTGAAGTCCACGAGTCATGAAGGGGCCATAGTTCCCCCATGCTGGCTCAGGAATTCTGGGATTTGAAGTCAGCAAGTCATGAGGGGGCCATAGTTCTCCCATGCTGGCTCAGGAATTCTGGGAGTTGAAGTCCATGAGTCATAAAAGAGCAAAGCTGGCCTACCCCTGTTCTGGACTCTTCCTCAACTCCAACGGTGCTTCTCTGGGACTCACATTTTCCCCTATAAATTACCTGAATTCATAGAATCCTATCCTGGAAGGAACCTTTGAGGTCTTCTAGTCCAGCCCCCTGCTCAAGCAGGAGAGCCTATCCAAGGGTAGGCCACCTTGGCTCTTTTATGACTGGTGGACTTCAACTCCCAGAATTCCTGAGCCAGCCATGCTGAGGGGAAAGGGAGAGGTTTCCAAGCTGAACCATGCTGGCTGAGGAATTCTGGGAGTTGAAGTCCACGAGTCATGAGGGGGCCATAGTTCCCCCATGCTGGCTGAGGAATTCTGGGAGTTGAAGTCCACGAGTCATGAAAGAGCCAAGGTGGCCTACCCCTGGCCCAGAGTAAGACAACTGGCTTTCATACCTAAGGCAGGATTAGAACTCACAATCTCCAGCTTTCTAGCATGTAATTTAAAAAAAAAAGGGTTAAAAGAATAAAAGAAAATTAAGCCTTTTGTATGAAATAGGCCAACACACTAACCCTCCTTCTGATTTAGTCCTTTGGGCTTGGTGTGGGATGTGGACATAGCAGTTGTGTTTGGCCAATTCAGGCGCAGACCTGGGAACCGAGCCCATCCTGTCGGTTGCTATCGCCCTTCGTCGCTCAGAAACAAACACTCCAGGTTGTAATTCCCACTTAAAGCAAACACCAAACCCGGTTTATCGCACGAATGCGCATGCAGAAATAATTGGGGCTCCCCCCCAGGAACCTAGCGATTCTTTTTAAAGAGAAG